CGATGCTCCACGCCGCGCCCAAGTATTTGCCTTTCCTTCATCAGTTTTTATCTCGGACTTAATTCACTAACGATAGATGCCAATTTGTCACAACCGTGTTGGAAAAAGGACACCACTATGTAGCTTGCTCGGCCAGTTGGTTTGTAATATTTTTGGAAGAGCAAACTAAGGAGCTCAACGTGACAGGACATCAGGCGAAATGTTTATGGCGGAAAGTCCACAACCCATGTACCAGATGCGCATTCATGAAAATTAGGCTGAAGCGTTCCAACAGCACACATCTAACACTACAAAGAAAAGAAGCGTGTGAAAATAGTACAAACAGCACACTTCCTGATCAACGATACGTGCACCCACTATCTAGCGAAGCGAATTCTTTGTCTAGCTGTAAGGACAACTGAAGGATCCCTTATACACGCGTTTTTCTTTTTTAAGGCTTCAAAATCTTCACGTTAATCTATTCCTTCCTTTGAAATATGGCTATGTACTTCTATTCTTTATGAAGGACAATGTAAGTTCCGAAGTGGCAGAATTTACTTGACACAAATATTTCAATGTAATGAGACCGTACAGTGCAAAAAGTATCTCGAGTAAAATTGAAGCTCGTGGCATCATCGAAAAGCACAACAGCGCCGCAGTTACATTAAGCTAGATTTGGTCAACCTGTCTTCTTACTCCTTGTTAATGTTTTATCTAACATTCCTTATGTTTACGATGACGCTAAGAGCACTTTAGTACAATGTGCGTTGACTATAGAGCGGTAAATCATCATAATATAGCAAGAATAACAAAACGTACACACAGAGCAGACATCACATGTTTGGTTCTGCAACTCCATTCTGACTTTTTTGCTTGATATTGTGATTACTAAAATGCACCAACTCGCTCAAGGCATTCGACAAAGCGGCAGCTATACTGACATGACCCTGGCGATTGGAGTGTACGACAACAACACCCAGTACCTGGCAAGGGCACATACTGATCCTATTATAGTGCATATACAGGCGAACAAGTCCAAACACTTGCGTAGATAATGCTAAACAAACATGCAAGCAGTGGAGCTTTTGCTAATAAAGCAGAACGAACCACCTTTGAGGATGAACATAATGTGCACACACATGCAAGTCTTACATGGCTAACAGACAACGCAGAGGCCAATCCTCACTAGGCATGCTTTAGCTAGGGCCACCTGACATCGACATAAATTGATCTTGCGGCGAATACATCTAGGAAAATTGTTGCGCAATGAAGATACTTTAGCCCTTGTCCTGTACATGTGTTCGTCTCTTCCATACCAAATTACACTCTCTGAAGTTTATCGCTGTGTGAAGATTAACCGACGCAGCCAGTACAGTCGGGAAGCATGTGTACTTGATCTTTGTGCCTGATGTAGAATAGAAATGCATTATGCCATTTCGGTACTTTTTCTGCCTGTGAAGTGTGTATTACAGGCAGTTTCTGTATCTTTAACGCAGTCCTCGGAACATCACAAGTTCTCTGACGATGTCATCATACCGCAAGCCACCTGTGAACAACGAAGCTTGCATTGAAGGTGAAGAGCAGAAAGCTGGAGTGAGCAAGAGGCCCCAGAGATCTAGAATTTCTGAGCCCTTCCACTCAGAGCCTGGATGTCGCAGCTTAGGTGAATGGCACCCTATGCAACAGCCACAAAAGGACGTGTCACTGAATCATCCCTTGCGACGGCCAAAGGAAGACCTGCCACTGAAACGTCCCCTGGGACAGCCAAAAAAGATGTGCCACTGAACCCTTCCTCGCAACAACCAAAGGAAGACCTGCCACTCAACCGTCCCCTGGGAGAGCCAAAAGAAGATGTGCCACTGAACCCTCCCTCGCGACGACCAAAAGAAGACCTGCCACTGAACCATCCACTGGGAGAACCAAAAGATGATCTGCCACTGAACCTTCCCTTGGGACGGCCAAGGGAAGATCTGCCACTGAACAGTCCCCAGGCACAGCCAGAAGATGTGCCACTGAACTCTCCCTCGCGACGACCAATGGAAGACCTGCCAATGAACCGTCCCCTGGAAAGCCAAAAGATGATCTGCCACTGAACCTTCCCTTGGGATGGCCAAGGGAAGACCTGCCACTGAACAGTCCCCAGGGACAGCCAGAAGATGTGCCACTCAACCCTCCACCTGTTCTCGAGACCACTACGCCCTTAGAGTTGTTCCAGGAGGCATTTGCAGTCCTGAATGACTTCTGGTAGGCTTCCTTCTTACCTTCATAAATATGTCCTGCATGACACGTGGTCCGCAGTCTCTTCTGCAACTAGGCCTGTATCACTGGTGCTGTAGGTCTCAGAGTTTCATTATAGCTGCATCCACAATGAAGCTAACAGAACATGCGTAAAAAGTTTGTTGCAGTGAAATTTCATGTATAGACCACAAGAGTTGAGAATGACTTGTTCTCTGGGCGCAGCAAGCATGTGCATTATTTTACATCACTTTCACTAATTTATGCTTGTTTGGTTGCACTGAAGTTGCCGTATTTCATTGCATACAAATTCGAATTAAATATACAGATAATGGAGAGCTAAAGTTGGATCGCAACTTACATTCTGATTTCTGTGCGTAAGTTGGCTTTATGGCACAGTTTCACGGTAGTATAGACCCTTCATTTTGATCTGCAGGAACTGTTTTTCTATCATTTTTGTTCTATGATTTGTAGGACAGGGTTATACGAGGAAAAAGTACAGCAGTGAGATGACTCCCGAGTGTATGCACTTGTCAAATCTTCAAGGGTGGCAGGAAGCTAAAAAAGCGACGAGCCGAAGTATGCACCATCATGGTTTCAAGTGAAGGACAGGAAAGCACTTTGTGCTTTTTACAATTTTGAATGTCTTAAGAGCTGTGTAGCAGGTATAGAAGATCAGGATAGTAGCAGTGATGGAAGTCCTGCTCCAACTGCTCCAAACCGCTCCAAGAGAGAAATGCTGCTGCATGTAGCTGCAAAGGGCCATATTTGCTCGTGACTGCTCCAAACCTGCTATGAAAGGATGTTGGCAAGCTAAAAAAAAAAATTTAACCATGGGGACCATACCGTGAGCCTAAGCGAAACCAAAGCACCTGTAGCACTATCATCTTGTGTTGTACTCAGTGGCTAAATCCAGAAAATCTCAAGGGGTGCCGCATATCAGGCTATGGGGTTCAATTAATATTTTATTATGGGATGTATTTTTATATATAGAAATAAATGCGCTTCCAAAAATATAATGAGCATAGGGTCCGAGCTCGAGCAATTGCACTGTTCTATTCAGTCTTTTTTGTTTCACCTTTATTCGATTTCTACAGTTCACACAGCTAAGGGGCATTTTACACCGGCACGCAGTAAAAGATAAAAAGACTTTTAAAAAGTTGATTGTGCTATACTTAACTGTTAACTAAGTTATATCACGTCATAAAGCTAAATCTTAAGTGGGACACTTGCTTAGGGTGTCCTCCCCAGCATGAACACCAAAAAGTCCGGGCTCTCTGACCCCTCTCCTGCCCATGATTTCTGCCAACTATACTGCTTGTATACTAGCGACATACCAGCATATGGCATGTTTATTAATACAGTTCAATCAATTTATTAGGAACGTGCTCTGGACAGCAATTCTGGTCTCTTATATGAGATGTCTCTTATAAGCAGGGCACCTCGTATTCATTATTTATCAACCCGTATGTCACTGTAGGCACACTGGTGTCTCTTACACCTATTTTTTTCTTATATAAGTGCCTATTATAAAAGATGTAAACTGTAAATATAAATACTTAGTAGATGCGTAAGTGGTGTTTTAGACTTGAGGAGTCCGTAGGAACATGCATCTGCTCCAAAAACACCAACAGCAACCCTAACCTATAGCAATTTTTCTGCTTTGAAGACACTTGAGGCTGCTTCAAAGCACCATTTCGTCTGCTCCAGAATCTGCTCCAAAAAGCATAATGTCGTTTTCATCACTGTAGTAGGGAACCATGCTTTTGTTTGCAGTGGTCAGGTAGTTCAATCTTGGTGCGCTGGCTGCACAAGTGCTGTCAGAACAGCTTCTATGACTGTGTCTACCACCGCTTTGTTGGCAGAGGTCATGGCAGAATATAGTTTTGTTTGGTTTGCATGCCTCTTTGGAATGCCTTGGTTGTTATTTCATGTGGCAGAAACACAGTGGAAATGTGCCAGTTGGGTCTTGCAATGCACTGCTTGAGAAATATTTGTGAGGATTTTACAGCAATCACAGGCCTTTTCTTTTCAAGGTAGCACTTGCAAAATCTTTCAATATGGTAGGTAGCAAATCTACAAAATTTTTTTTCCAACTTGGCCTTAGATCTGCCATCTTCACTGCTGACGAGCCAGTTCAAATTCCTGCACTTGGTAACCGACATAGGCTTGCAAACTTAATTTTATTTTTCAAGTGAGCCTCACTTAGCAGGGTGTCTACCAACCTTGAAAAGTCGTGTGGAGTCTCTAAAAAACTTAGCCAGGTCATCAAAACTGACGGCAGTGTGTGAACTTGTCACAAAAGTTAGCATTAGTATTGATTAAAGCTTAAAAAGTCTTTCCATCAGCTGACTATGGACAACAGCTAGAAGGGTGGGAAATAAGGCTGTGCATAACTGCCTCTTAGTGCAAATGCAAAAGATGCATCACAAAAAAATACATTTTAGTGATATTTTGGCACCTCAAGTAGGAGGTTTGATCACAATAAAAGCCTAATAAAGGCACAGCATATTTGAAAGGACGTTAAAGAGCAACAGTTCTTCACATGTATGAAAGTTAAATTTCACAATCTGTAAAACACCATTCTTACCGGGGCATGACATTTAGTAAGCGAAAAAGCGCACCACAAAAATGTGGGCGGAGACGCCAACTTCAGATTCCTGTATTAAATGCTGTGACATCATAGATCTTGAAGACTTACTGGGTTCTACATAACTTCTACTCAATAAAAATGAAATACATTTTCATGTGTAGGGGCCATATATCTAGCACACGAAGTTACAGAGAATTTCACCAGGCCAATGTCATGAGAATACAAAAAGTACATCTTTAAATAGGTCTTCATGTACAGAGACGTAAAAGCAAAATTTAAGAATTAATCTTCAACTTTTATTTTCCTCTTATGATAGTGAAAAATAAGGCATCGAAGTTCTCACAGTGCAGTTTGTTAATCAAAAATAAATCATTGTTTTTAACTTTTTATTCTCCTTTTAAATATACCTAAGTGTATGACATAAGCCTTGCAAGTAGATTGTCGAAAGCGTCCCATCACTCCTGTTCAGAATGTGCCCAGTTGTCTGTATGTGGAGGGATTCCATGGGCAGCATGTTGCCAGCTTAATTTTTTTGCCACAACACGTGCACTTGACAACTCAGTTTGATGGCTTGTAGACTCTACATGTTCAGCAAGGGCATTCAAGGCCACGTGTCGTTTAGTGACATCATGTTTATGTTGTTTGCTCTTCTTGAAATGGTCAATTTTACTGTTACACAGGTTTTCACAATCGTGGGAGCCTAAGGCGGGACCAAGACCAAGAAAATTTATTTTCCTTCACATTGACTACAGAATTTCTCGGCTTCCATGTTTGTACATAAACTATGGGGTGGCTGTTGCATCACACAGAATATCTGACTTTAGAACCACTACATTACTCATGTAGGTAATTTGTGCATGTTTGTTTTGGCCGCAATATTGGCTTGGCTTGAAGGTATGGTTAGGATAGAACCCCCATCAGCAGAAGCTTGCGGTATGTGGTGTCTCTTATTATTGTTATTATATTACTATTTTCATTACTGCCAATGCAATGGTAAACATCCTCACCTACACACTCATTGCTGGTAGCTGTGTATTTTCAACTAAATTTCTTTTTCAGTTTATTGATATTGTCCTTAAATCCGTGATTATTTCTCAGCGTCGCATCCTATAGAAGTATGTAAACGAAAGTTACAAGCTAGCAAGGTTCAACTTGTTCAATGTACGTTTTCGGGTGGTGAAACTAGCGCCAGACATGCTGCCTGCCGAATCGGAGCAGCGAAATCGTGCATGGCTGTGGAGTTTTTGGAAGTCACACAATTACTAAAAAAAGAGAAAGCTCCATTGTAGTGGAGGGAGGGCAGTGACCCTCTGGTACAGTTGATGCTTTTGCTTGCTATTTAAGATGCCAGCATTCCCACACGAGAGAGAAACAAAAGAATAGCCACAAGGAGCGCTTCCTACGGGCTTGCTTGACGTGACTGACCAGTGCATTTGCAAACTCTTTTTGGCTGTTCTATTAGAGTCAGCAGTGGGTGTGCTGCTGTTAACCTTAGGGTTGGCGGGGAGTCCATTGTCAGCTCTTTACATTGACATAATAGGGAGTGGCACAGAGACTCTCGCGGACAAATAGGGCAGGAGGGTGATGCAGGAGGAGGAAGTGACGCTGTGACGGACGTTCACTCTCTCCCACCTGTACAAGGAATGCTTATGCCCACACCTCACCACACACTTTCAGTACCTTTTTTTTGTGACCCCTCTCCCTCAAGGAGCTAAGCTGAACCCTGCTGCCACAAAAGTTCCTCAACCTAACTGCAGGGCTTAACAAATTCTCCCTTTCATTCCAAGTTGTTGCTATTGCATTGATCGTTTCGCCCTTGTGGCGAAACTGGCTTTTTTATCTCTGCTTTAGCTGCGTTCGTCACCCATGCTTCCACGCTTTTGCCCGTTTGTAAAACACACGATGCGTGGCGGTTGTTATCGATTGGGATAATACGGAACGCATGATAGCGACGGCCAGTGGCATAGCCAGGCCATGAGGGAGGGGGCGCATCGTGACTGTGCCCTCCTCCCAAAATATATTTTTGCCATGCCATATATAGCCCAATATTGCCATTTGTATGCCCCCCTTCATATCAAGGTGCACTCGCCCCTCCCTCCCCCAAAAACAAATTTACCTATGCCCCTAGCGATGGCAAAGACCGGTCGAAAATGTCCTTGTAATTGCTATCGCCATAAAAAGGAAGTGGCTCTCGCCTTCTAGTCGTCTTAGGCATATGCATAAGGTACACAGTGAGGCTCTTTTTTCTTTATGCACTGCTTCTAG